CATGAAAAAATTGTCTTTGATTTTCTTTAAAAAATCCGCAATTACTTACCTGCCGACCCAATAGTATATATATATTTTTCCTATATAATAGAAGTGTAATATGCAAATCGACTGAACAGTGGAACTATATATCCGTGGGGTTTTGGGCCCACAAGCAGGAGGCACCAGGCCAGGCAAGTTACATGCCAGTGGGCAGAGGGAGAAGATGGCGATGGGGGGAGCGAGATTGGGAGGAGGGGCTGGTCACTCGCCAGCTAGCACTGTGCCCTGATCAGCCTGCCCAGTCACCTCCTACAGAGGGAGTACTGGTGGCAGCAGTGGTGGGGTGATAAGGGGTGGGACCGGCCACTCACTGGCCAGCTCTGTCCCCAAATTGACCTGCCTGAGTTGCATCCCACAGAAGGAGGCCAGACTGCAGTTTAGGAGCTGGCCTAAGCTGTCAGTTGGACATCCCCTACGGGCTCCTGGACTGTGAGAGGGTGCAGACCAGACTGAGGGACTCCCCTCCTCCCCCAGCCTCCGCCCAGTGCATGAATTTTTGTGACTCAGACCTCTAGTATAGTATATATTTAAATGTAATAACATTGGATAAAGGAGACACCACAATTAAGGAGGAATTTTAACGATGGGCACTTAAATACGATATAACTGACTAGTGATTTGAACAAATCAATTTAAATTCTTAACTCTCACTAGATGGATCGAAGAATTAAATGGGCCCTGGCAGAGTACCTCAGTTAGTTAGAGTGTCATCTCCATAGCCAAGGTTGTGGGATTCAACCCCTTGGTCAGGGAACATACAGGACTCAACCAGTGGGTGCATGAATGGGTGGAACAACAAATCAATGTTCCTCTTTCTCTGTCTCTAAAATCAATCAATTAAAAAAAAAACATTTAAAGAATAAAAGAGAATTCCTTTTTGCTGTGGCTGTTTAACTCTTAATATCAAAATATTGTCATCTGGCAGGTGTGAATCAAGGTGTGAATCATCCTATATACCAAAGGATGGTGGGCTCCATTCTCCGTCAGGGCACATACACAGGTTTCAGGTTCAACACCCGGTCGATGTATATACAGGAGGCAACTGATTGGTGTTTCTTATTCACAACAATGTTTCTCTCTCTCTCTCTCTCTCTCTCTCTCTCTCTCTCTCTCTCTCTCTCTTTCTCTCTCTCTCTACCTTCCTCTCTCTCTCTCTCTTCAATAATAAATATATATATATATTTTAAATATATTTTATTGATTTTGTACAGAGAGGAAGGGAGATAGAAAGTTAGAAACATCGATGAGAGAGAGTCATCGATCAGCTGCCTCTTGCACACCCCCTAATGGGGATATGCCTGCAACCAAGGTACATGCCCTTGACCGGAATCGAACCCGGGACCCTTCAGTCCCCAAGCCAACGCTCTATCCATTGAGCCAAACCGGTCTTGGCAATAAAATATAGTTTTAAACAAAAAATAATAATAATTAAATGGGGGGGGGGGGAACCTAAGCCATAAGAAACTAAGGCCAAATCCTGGTGGGTATTATATCTGTATGATAAATTAATTTGTAAGTCTAAAAAAAACCCCAATTTTTTTTCCAAAAAAATTTATGAATATAAAAATAGAAGACAAACCAAAAAAATAAATCAAGAAAAAATAGCTATAATTATGATTTTTGAAACACCACCTGTCTCCTCATTCCCACAGTGAGAGGAAGTGGAATAGAGGCGAGAGCTTGATAGCTGCTCCAGTATGGGGTTAGTTTAATAAAATACTTTGTGCCTATCAACTTGTGCTTTGAACATTCATTGCCCAGAGCTCATTTCTGCAAAGTGTGCAAACTATTAACAGATACCATTTGTTGAGCACCTATTATGTGCTAGTATTCTGTAGACACGGAGCCGCTTGATCATCAGATGGGTATCATTACCCAATGTGGCAACCAGCTAGGAAGATACACACACAGTTGAGCTGCATAATGATGTATAAATTAATGTCAGGTAAATTAGACATTAAGCGTCAGGACTGATCCCTGGCCCTGGCTCTTAGTTTGGCTTGGATGAATAAGATTGTATTGTCGACGAGTTATAATACCTAACGAACCTTATTCCCCACTCTCCCAAGAGATAAAATATAAGTGACCCTACAAAACTGATCGGACCAAAATCAGAGACAATCGGCACATTTAAAGAGGCCCGTGCTAGGATTTTAATTTAAATTCGGTTTATTATCCATGGGAGCCAGAGCCAATTACAAATCTGGTGAGGTGGAATGTTCACCAGGAAGCTGGAAAGAGGTGCCAGTAGGTCCTTCCACAGAGCTACCAAGGGGGTTAGGACCCAGTGCCATGTATCTGCAGAAAGATGACCAAATTCCTTTTTGCTGTGGCTGTTTAACTCCTCATATCAAAATATTGTCATCTGTGGGTGAGATCCAAGGAACATGGTAAAAAAAAAAAAAAAAAAAAAAAAAAAAAAAAAAAAAAAAAAAAAAAAAAAAAAGTTACTCAGACAAGGAAATGCCAAAAGAGAACCCAATAATTTGGAAGACCATTTGTTGTTTCAGGGTAGACCCTATCAATAGAAATAGAAGGCTAACTTCAAAATAAATAACTTACTTCCTAACAAGGTAAGATTTGTTCATGGATGGTTTTATTGCTTCTGTTACAAGTTTTTTCTACTTATTCAGAAGATAGTTTTGATCCTATTATGGAAACTCATACACAAGAGGTCTGCTAGTATCAGACCAGATTATTTGGAAAGCTTTGAAAACCACAACACTTATTCTTTTTTTCCGTTAGAGCGCTGCTGGAGGCAATGCTTCAGCTTGCCCTACTGGGTAACTCAGGCAGGGAGCCAGTGCAAGCCCGGTGACTACAGCGTGAAGCTGGGTTGGCAGCAGGTGTGGCTGAAGCGTAGGCTGCATCCTCTTTGGGATGTGATTGGTCTTTGTTCACAAAGCTGTCCCTCCTTCCTGGAACCACACAAGGGCCTATGGGACTCCTGGAAACTTCCGGGTGATCTGAGGTGATTCAATTCTCCTTTTACAGTACCAATTCCTTCTCCAGCCTTACTTTCAGAGCAGAGACAGAATTTTTATTTTTTGCCGAAACCGGTTTGGCTCAGTGGATAGAGTGTCGGCCTTCGGACTGAAGGGTCCGGGGTTCAATTCCAGTTAAGGGCATGTACCTTGGTTGTGGGCATATCCCCAGTAGGGAGTGTGCAAGAGGCAGCTGATCAATGACTCTCTCTCATCGATGTTTCTAGCTCTCTGTCTCTATCCCTTCTGCTCTGTACAAAATCAATAAAATATATATTTTTTTTAAAAAAGAATTTTTATTTTCTCAGTTCCACAGGGCAGGTTACAATACAACCTGTTAATGTGTCCCGACTATCTCAGTACCATTTTGGGTACATTCAATCTATCAACAGCGCCCTTGGAGCTCACAAACCTATTAAAGAGTAATTCCCTGGACTCTATAAACACAGGGCAGTGGTTCACATCTGAAGGCAGAGTGGTCTGGGACCTGTCCCACCTCCTAGCCTTCCAAAGGAGGAGAACATTTTATTTTTCAATTACAGATTGCATTCAATATTATTTTGTATCAGTTTCATGTGTACAGCATAGTGGTTGGGCAATCATATAGTTCACAAAGTAATCTCCCTATTATCCAGGTACCCGCCTGGCATCACACACTGTTACCACAATATTATTGACTATATTCCCTATGCTGTACTTTACATCCCCGTGACTACATTGTAATTACCAATTTGTACTTAATCCCTTCACCTCTTTCACCCAGCGTCGGGGAACAGATTAGAGTCAGGCATAGGGAATCAGCTTTGGAGTCAGCTCTGGATTCAAGCCCTAGAGGTGCCAATTAGAACTGTGTGAACTTGGGCTATGTTCCTTAATCTCCGAATCAGGGATTAGAATGGTCTGCACTTCTTAGGAATGCTGTGAGGATTAAATGGACAGACCATCTGCCACTGGTATGTCCTTCTTTGAGAAGTGTCTATTCAAGTCTTTTGCCCATTTTTAATTGGATTGTTTTTGGGGTATTTTGGTGTTGAGTTTTATAAATTCTTTATAACTTTTGGATATTAACCGTTTATCAGATGTATCAGTAAATATGTTCTCTCATTAAGTAGGTTGTCTTTTGTTGATGGTTTCCTTTGCTGTGCAAAAACTTCGTAGTTTGATGTAGTTTTATTTTTCTTTTGTTTCCCTTTCCCAAGGAGATACATCAGATAAAAGAAAATGTTGCCGTGATCAACATTCTACTGCCTATGTTTTCTTCTAGAACTTTTATGATTTTGAATCTAACATTTTTTTAAATATATATTTTATTGATTTTTCACAGAGAGGAAGAGAGAGGGATAGAGAGTTAGAAACATCGATGAGAGAGAATCATCGATTAGCTGCCTCTTGCACACCCCCTACTGGGGATGTGCCTGCAACCAAGGTACTTGCCCTTGCCCGGAATCAAACCTGGGACCTTTCAGTCCGCAGGCTGACGCTCTATCCACTGAGCCAAATTGGTCCCGGCTTGAATCTAACATTTAAGTCTTTAGTCAATTTTGAGTTTATTTTTTGTGTATGGTTTAGTCCTCCCCCATTTTTTTAAAAATACATTTTATTGAATAATTGATTGACAGAGAGGAAGGAAGAGAGATAGAGTTAGAAACAACGATGAGTCATCGATCAGCTGCCTCCTGCACACCCCCCACTGGGGATATGCCCGCAACCAAGGTACATGCCCCCGACCGGAATCGAACCCGGGACCCTTCAGTCCCCAAGCCGACCTGACGCACTATCCATTGAGCCAAACCGGTCCCGGAAGTCCTCCCCCATTTTTGCATGTATCTGTCCAACTTTCCCAACACCATTTATTAATTAGTCCATCTTTACCCCATTGCGGGTTCTTGTCTCCTTGGTCAAATATTAATTGACCATAAAGGCATAGTGAACACACACACACACAATATACAGATGATGTATTATTGAATTGTCCACCTTAAATGTGTATAATTTTATTAGCCAATGTAACCCCAATAAATTCAATAAAAAACAAATAGGAAACTATCTGGAAAGTGCTTATTCTATTACCCATCTCTCAATAAGCACAAAGTGGACAGTTTTCATCGTGGCATTCTTTTCCCCATTTGAGACCAAAGCAATTGGATTTAAGAGCTGAGCTACTTACTCTGAAAAGAAGTTTCACCTACAAGTAATCAAGGAGAAAAATGCACGTGAAAGTTGTAGAGAGCACCTGGGAAGGCACATGAGCATTTCTTTAATTATTGTCAGCTGAATCCAGTGGCCACATCCTGGAAACACACCTTGCCAGAGGCAGGTGTGTCGTCAGCTTGACCTTCAGCTCAGGCTCCAGTCCAGGGGATGCGTTTCATTCTCTAAATCCAGCCGAGCACCAGGAACAAAAGTGATTATCCGGGCCCACCTAGAAGTGAAGATTACAAAGAAGCCACAAGAATGCACATAATCTCCTTTGTCTTGGGCTTTAGTAAAACTTCCTGGTTTTTGCTGTACAAAATAAATGAGCTGTCGCGGCTCTGGGTCACTGTCTCTCCATCAGAGGACAGCTGTCCCACGGGTCTCAGCTTTTTCCTTCTATCTCTGTTTCTGTTTCTTGCTTTCATTTTCTCAATCCCCAGCAGCCCCTACTCAGGAACCAGACCACTCTCTAGTCACGCTGGACTCAGAGAAGAGAGAGATATTTATAGGAAGTTACTTGCCGGAAACACTGCCTCTTCCCTCCTTACCTGATTCTCCACATAGTGACAGATCTTCATTTCAGCCTCCAGGCTGACGTGTACACTGCAGTTACAGGTTGTCAACTAAATGGGGGTGGAGATCCTTGTAAATTCTAGGCCCAAGAATGTCTATTGATAGATGCAGATGGTTATAGCATCGTGGTTAAGGCTAAGCACGGACTTTTTGAACTGAAACCTGAACAGGAATCACTCCCCTCACTTCCCCTTTCACCACTTAGTCTTAAGTGATATGGCCAATTTAGCCACTTAGAACTTGCTTTCTTGTTTATACAAAGAGGATAGTACTTAATTGAGTGGTTACAAGGATTAAATGAGAGAATATTTATATCTAACGTGCTTAGCTGGCAAAGAGTAGAAGCTCAATTCATCACTATTGAATCCAATTCAAAAAATGCCAGGTAACTGCGGTTTTTTTGTGCTCTGAAACTAGCAAGTAAGTAAAAACTATAATCAAAAGATAGTTTTGTGGGTTTTTTTTGCAAACCAACATTAGTGAATATACATTCTGCTTAATAAGGTGAACATTTCAACAGGCTTATGGACCTGTGCCCATAGTTTACCTACTTTGCCTATTCAGACTTCCTAGTTTTTTCATAAGAATTATGGTGCCATTCAGGCAAGATGCATACTACTTAAAATGAGTAATTTTATACTAAATGAGCTGCTTGTAGGACGGAAATGGGAGACGGGGAGAATCAACTTCTTGATAACCTGTAGAATATTACTATGATGTGGGTCCTATTAACCTCCCCCCCCCCTTTTTTTTTTTTAACAAAGTGGGGAAACAGGATAAGGACAAAAGTGGGTGAAAAAAGCAATAACTGTCAGACAGAATTTGATGGCAGGTCTGTCTAAGATAGGCTGTCCATCATTTTACCCCCTCTGTTGGCAATGACTGTTCAGTTTCTCAGGTTTATTCAAAAGTATTCCTCCTAAATGGGGTTCTCAGGAAGCCGTTGTTGAACTAAAGAAGATAATTTACTGCCATTCCACGGCAACAGGATTTTAGTTATGAGGGTTGTGAAATTTGGCTGTCTTCTCGCTTTTCCAGTGGTGCTAAAAAAATAAAATAAAACAAAAAATAAAAATAAAAAAGCATTAGCCACTCCATTACAGACTACTGTCTGCCCGCCTGAAACACCCAGGTGGATTAATTTATGATTCACCTTCCCTTTCCTGTTTTGATGGAACAGGGAGACTGAACCATTCCTGTCAATAAAAAGCTCTATGATGACAGCCTAATTGGTGGCTGACGCGCAGGTGGGATTTCCTGTCGCCATTTTACGGAAACAAAAACTCCCCTGCCAGGAAGGGCCCAGTCAATGAAAAGGTGCTTAAACAAAGAGGAAGCAAAGGGGAACCGGCCCGGTGGTCCAGTCTCCGCCATCCTGCTCCCTGGCTCTCACCGCCCCGCGGATGGGAAGCGCCTCTGCCCAGGTCCCTCCGGCGCGTCCAGCGCGGGGCAGCGTCACGTGGGCGGCCAGGCGGGGGCTCGCGCCCCTGCGCGCCCAGGCAGGTGCGCGCTGCAAGCTCAGCAAACCCTTTTATTTTTTTTCCGGTCTAGTCACACACAGTCCCCAAAGCGAAGCTTCAAAGCTCCGATCTCCGAGGGGTGCCGCGGCCCACGCTGCAGGTCCCGGAAGAGGGCAGGCCCCTCCCACTGCGGGCTAGAGACAAAGGCTTTCCCAAGGTGCCCCGCTGCCCGGACCCATCGCCCCTCTTCGCGCCCACCGAGGCGGGCTCGGTGCGGTCCCCGGAGCCATCGCACCGCTGCAGAGCCGTCCGCAGCTCCGGGGCTGTCCGCCGCCCGCGGCTGTCCTCCCCTCGGCGCCCTTCCCACAATGCAACTCCATCCCTGCGGCCCGGTGGCCGGACTCCCGCGGACCCCAAAGGGCGCCCTCCTCTCCTCCTCCCGCGCCCACCTGGCCTCCCCACTCTCATACCCAAGGGTTCCACCCAGTCTCCGCAGCCACCGCCACCGCCACCGCCCGGTTGTGGACCGGCTGCCGGGCTCCAGGGGGGCGTGGGGCAGGTGTCCAGCCTGCGCGCAGCCCCTGCTCCCTCGGCTTGCGTCGATGCGCCGGGCCTAGGCGCACCCCGCCACCCCATCCCTCACCCCTTTCCCGATGCTCCCTCTCCGCCCGCCGCGGCCGCCGCATCCTCCGCGAGCGGCGGGAGGGAGGCGTCGGGTTCGGCCACCAGCAGACACCCTGCTCCCCGGTGCTCCGCTCTGGCTAAGGAGCGGGCGCGCGGGAGGGGAGGTGGCGGCGCGCCGGGCCGGGCGGATCGGCTTAACTTTCCACGTTCCACCCCTTCCCCGGCCGTGGGGGAGCGCGGGCGCCGCGGCTCCGGGTAAGAGGATGACGGCGATAGGAGACCCTGCGCTCCCGAGCGTGTCGCAGTGAGTGCGGGGCGGGCGGGCGGGCAGTGAGTGTGTGTGAGTGAGTGTAGGGGGGGCGGGAAGGAGGGGGAGGCTCTGATGCAATCCGCCCCTAAAGGAGGAGGGGAGCTGGGGGAGCGCGGGCTGAGGCGGCCTCGCTGCTGGCTGAAGGTCGCCGGGAACCGCCGCCCTTCACCTTCTTCCTCGGAAACCTGCCAGACCTCCCCGCCCGGCCCTCGTGGACAGAGGCCCCGTTTCCCCGGCTGGGGCGGCTAGACCCCGGCACAAAGGACATCACCCCGCCGCCGGGGAGGACATCCGGAAGGGAGGAGGACACCTTGACGTCTTACCCCTGTGCGACACTTTGTCCCTTTTTTTGCCCAAGGTAGGGTCATTTTTCCTGGCTCCAGAGAGAGGGAGCCCAGGGAAGGGATGTTGGAGAGAGAGGTGCGGGGAGGAGGCGGGAACAGAGAGGTCCTCCGTGCGGGGCCAGGGAGGAAGGGGTGCGCGGTTGTGCCGGATGCATTTGGGTGTGTGGTGGTTTTTTTGTTTTTTGTTTTTTTGCTTTTGGAAAAGGAAAAGTCCGGGTCTCCTGTTGTTCCCCCATGCACGTGGCAGCGGGAGGAGGCCCGGAGGTTCCTGCTTTCACCTTTCCCTGGCGGCTGCTTACTTTTTTTTTGGTTCCGTTTTCAAGGCGGGAGCACATGGCACCCGACCTGGTTCAGTTACCCGAGGCCGGGGACCTCTCGGATCTGCTGGGAGAGCACTGCCGATGTGAGGAGCGTTTGCATCCCGGGCACCTGCGCAGGGGGAGCGTGTGGGATGCCCTGAGGGTGTGCGTGCGGCCGGCGGGGTTCCCAGGGCTGGCCCCGGGTCCCATGTGCCGCCCTGGCTCCAGCTCTGCGGGTCTGGGTAACGGAGAGGAGCAGGAGGATGCCTGGGGGAGATCACAAGGATGCTAGCTAACACTGACCACTGTCCTTGCCCTCCCTGAAGAGGTTCTTTCCAAAATCAAGGAGGGGATGGGGGAGGAGAAAAGTGCTGTTCTGGGAGTCAGGGTCGCTGGAGCTGACGAACAAAAGGCCGCCGCTTGCGCGTGGCCTGGGTCCGGAGTGTCTCTCTTCCCCTCCGGATCCCTGCCCCGTCCCTAAAAATGTTGCCACAAAAGGCCTTTAACCTGGCCGCGGGGCCGGGAGGCAGGCGCTCCGCTGCCCTAGCGTGCGTCCCGCCCTCCCCATCCTTATTCTATCAGATTGTCGGGCTCCTCAGCTCCCACTGGGACCCCACACCATCCGGGGCTGCCTGGGCGCTGCTCCCCTGCGGAGTCTCCCGCCCCTGGGTTCTGGCAGGACTGTAGTCAGAGAAGGTGGAAGTGCATATGGCGGCGGCAAAAAGAATTTCGCGGTTAACAGCGTCCGGGCGTTTCTGGTGCCTTTTACAGGCTGCCTTGAGCTGGGGAGGGTGGTGCTACCGTCGCGAGTCCTTTGTGTCTCGCTCTGCTGCGGCACAGACCCAGTTTTCATCGTACCTATGGGTTTGACATCTCTGCGGCGGGTTAAAAAAAATTTTTTTTTAATATAAGGGGGAGGAGAGACTGCATCTACGGTTTGCAGACTACAGGGCCCAGCAAGGCTGTAATTTGTCACCTTGGTGGAAGGAATTGTGCAGTAACTCGTGCTTGTTCTGACGTCAGAAAGACAACGGAAAGAAAACCTGAGCTAGGTGGCTGGCTGCCCTCATTGTTACCGAACGTCTCACGCAGGGCTGAGACCCTTCAAATCTATGTGAAGCAGTCTGTCCCTTGTGGGCCCCCCTGGATTTTGGTTCAACCCCAGCCTCAAAGGGCTTTGCTCTTGTCACTTCAGTTCTCAGTGTGTCCCTTAGCCATCTGGAAACCCACCTAGTTTGGTTGGAGGTCATAACCTTGATGAGGTTTATTACCTTTAAAAACACACGCTACATATTCAATTGATACTTGCGGGGGTGGGGGGAAGAGGGTGGGCTGGGCTTGTTTTGTGGTTGGCAGCAACTAATAAGACTCAGTTCCTGTGAGGCTTCTGTTCTGGGGCAGGAAGGAGATAGGCAATATGTGCGTGTATAAACTACTTTCAGATATGTGGAAGTGCACTGGAGAAGTAAAACAGGGTCACGTGGTAGGGAGGGTGCTCACGGTAGATGACCCTCCTCCGATCCTCAAGGAGTGCCTGTGTGAGAGGGTGACATTTGTCCTGAGACTCAGAGGCCTGGCATCTTAGTCTATTGCTAGTCCTGTCTTTTCCTCACTCTGGATGCTACTTGAGGCCAATCTTTTTTTTTTTTTTTTTTAAATACATTTTATTGATTTTTTTACAGAGAGGAAGAGAGAGGGATAGAGAGTTAGAAACATCGATGAGAGAGAATCATCAATCAGCTGCCTCTTGCACACCCCCTACTGGGGACGTGCCCACAACCAAGGTACATGCCCTTGACCGGAATCGAACCCAGGACCTTTTAGTCCACAGGCCGACGCTCTATCCACTGAGCCAAACCGGTTTTGGCCCTAAACCAATCTTACTCATCATTGTTCCTGTAATGACTAGCAGAGTAGCTGCTTAATAAAATGCCCGTTGGATTGAGATCTTGGCCAGTCTTCATCTCATGCACCTCTTTATGCTAGTGTTGATCACCCATTCTTTTCTACGTCTCATTGTTGGTTTTCCTTTTCCTAGGTTGAAACATTAATCTTTTTCTAGTCTGCTTCTCTCGTTCTCTCTTTTCCTCTCTTCACTTTTGAGCAGCCGCCAGGCCCTTGCAAATGCCCCTCAAACCTGTTTTCTCATCCCCAGTCCCAATGTCCAAGTTCAAGTTCTCTGTCACCTGACCTAGACATGGCGATTCAAGTAGGGTGTTGGGATACAAGAATCATGAAAAAGACATGGAGGTGCCCTGAAGAGACCAGGAAATCCTTCCTCCAGGGAGGAAGATGGAAGCACAACACGTGGTTAAAAAATAAAGTGGCTAATTAATGAGGTATAACAGCTTTCTAGTTGGTCTTCTCCATATCAAGCTCCCTTAATTCAATCTCCACACTTCCAGGAGATCTGTATTTCTAAAACAATTTGCACTTTTTACAGGTAACTTTAATATATTATATATACTTAAAAGTTATAAATACATAAATCAACACACACCACACACACACACACACACACACACACACATATATATATATATATATATATATATATATATATATATATATTGATTTTAGAGAGAAAGGGAGAGATAGAAATATCAATGATGAGAGAGAATCATTGATTGACTGCTTCCTGCAGGCCCCACACTGGAGATTGAGCCCACAACTCAAGCATGTACCTTGACCAGGAATCCAACCACCACCTCCTGGTTCATAGGTCCACGCTCAACCACTGAGCCACACCAGCCAGGCTCAGTTTGCACTTTTTAATGACCTTGCTTCTAAAATCTCCAGTGGGTTCCCATTGCCCACAATTAAAGTATAATTGACCCTCCTCCGAGGCACTCAGGACCCTCCACAATCTGACTTCTCACCTGTCTTCACCTCTTTGTCCCTGTTCACCTTGTACCCTCCCTGCCTCGTTTCCACCTCATTATCAGTTTTGATTCCAGACTGGAATGCCTACTGAAATTCTACATATTTGTGATGGCCTAGTCCAAGTGGTTCTCAACTTTTCTAATGCTGCGATCCTTTAATATAGTTGTGGTGACTCCCAACCATAAAATTATTTTCGTTCTACTTCATAACTGTAATTTTGCTACTGTTATAAATCGTAAGGTAAATATTTGTGTTTTCCGATGGTCTTAGGCGCCCTAAGAAAACACAGATATTTACAGTATGATTCATAACAGTAGCAAAATTACAGTTATGAAGTAGCAACGAAAATAATTTTATGGTTAGGGGTCACCACAACATGAGGAACTGTATTAAAGGGTCGAGGCATTAGAAAGGGGTATTAAAGGTATTGTTTTTTTGATTGTTTAATGAAATAATGATCATAATACTGATGGTGGCAGTAGTGGTACCCATCTTATTAAGGTATCCTGAAGACTTAATTAAGATAATGGATGTGAAGTGCTTGGCATGGTGTTAGCATTCTATATATATTGAATTTAAAGGAAATTTGGGTTTCTCACTTATCACAGGGAGAGGGGAAAGTTGATCAGTCAAGTTCCCCTTACCTCTGATATTCTATGACTCTATAATAATTTAAAAATGCTTTTCAGAAAATAATACCTGAGGGAAACTACCTGAATCCTTTCAGTCTCTGGGAGAAGATGCATCTGTGAAGGGTGGTGTGGGGGTGGGGAAAGCATGTGTGTGGAAGTAAGCACATTCAAAATCACATCATAGATCTCCAAAAAACAGCTTGAAGCACTGACCCTAAACTGAGTCATTGTTATACTTACTTTTGAAATTTAAACACTTTATATTAATTGGTTTTCTAGGGACCACCTATGTGTTAGGAATTTAGTGATTACAAATGCCCCCTAGTTTGGGAAACTGCAGGCACTGGGGTTGCAATCAAGGGACTGTGCCTCAAGTGAAGTTACAATGTGTCTTTGCCAATAATTAACTGGGTACACTTGGGCAATTCATTTTACGTTTTAATGCCTCATTTATCATCTGTCTAAGGCTAATAATAGCATCTGAGCTGCCTCACCCCCAGAATTGTGAAGACACAATGAGAATGCAATCTAGAAAATCCTTGAGCAAGCTAAAGGAACTATAATCATCTGAGGTTAAACACGCTGCTAATGTTTAGAAGATGGGTTTAGATTAGTGACTTTCAACTCGGCCTTCACATTGGTCTTACCTGGGGTCTTTTTAAAGCTTTGAATGCCCAGACTCCATTTCCAGAGATTCAGATTTAGTTGGCCTGGGTTAGAACCAAGACATGAGAATTAAAACACACACACACACACACAACAAACACCAGGGGTAATTCTAATATGCAGTGTTTTGGAGTTAAAAGCAGACAAAACAGAATGAGAAATTACATGAAGACCTCCATATGTTATTTGACAAAAATCTTAGTAATGTGAAATCATGATGACCTTTCCCTCGACTCAACTAAACCAACCAGTTGTTGACATCATGGAGCCACAGCCTCAGGTTACAATTTATAACCTGAATTTCTCCAGGTATAGAAGCCTGTCCAGTGAGCGATACAGCCACAGCAGCATAAAGATTTAATGTGTGGGATCTCAGTTTCCATCTCCTAGGAGTGACAAAGACGATTGGGAAAGAAGGAGACAATGGAAAGCAAAAGGAAAGGGATAGCCTAGGCCCTAGGGCCCAAGGTATTGGGGAGGCGGGGGGGGGGGGGGGGGGGGGGAGAGGGAGGAGGAGAAGGGGAGAGGGAAGGA